CAAAAACCTCACCCAATGCCACCAAGACACAACCCAAACAACCCAAGGCCCCATACAAGTCACCACTACCAGAGAAGCCTCCTCGCATCTTCCTCCGCCTTCCCAAAGACCACCCAGCCCGCCAAGCTAGCCCTTTCGCTACTATGGATAAACTGAGGAAGCATTTGGACAAGACCTGTTCTGCAGCTGTGAAAGAGGTCCAACAGGTGCCCTTGGGCCTGGCAATCTGGCCTAAAGATGGCCTGAGTTTCCAGCTTCTCATGGAATGCAAGGAGGCGCTGGAGGTCCTCCTACAAGGAGCCAAGGCTGAAGTCGAACAGAACTGGGCCATATTCACCCTTCCAAATGCCCCACAAGAGTATACTAGCTACAACAGGACCCAAATGCCCATAACTGAACATATGACCCTGGAAGAATTCAAGCTCCAGACAGGCCTCTCCCCTCTGAAGTTCTACCGATCAAGCAAGAGCCCGCTTTCAGGCACCCTCATCATGGCTGTCCCAGAGACCCAGGCCCAGATAGTCCCTAGGTGGGTCCACCTCTTTGGCAAGAATGTACAGATTAAACAGAAGCCCTTTTGAACTCATATATAGCAGTGCACACTGTGCTGGGACTACCATAACCCCCAGACCTGCACCCGCACTCCCAGATGCCGCATCTGCAGCAAGAGAGACCACACTGAAGAGACCCATTCCTCTTCCAATGATGAGGAGAGACCTCAGACCCATGCTGTACAAACTGCTGCGGACCTTTCCCATCAGACCACTCCAACTGTCCCACCCGACCTACCATACAACAGGGAGTCATCCAGCGACTATCCAAATCACAACTCATTGCAGTCAGAAAAGCAGGTGCATGCCAACATATGCTCCAAGATCAGACTGCTACAAATGAGCCCCCCAGAAACTTGGGCTGCTCACCGGCAAGAGAACAGCCTCATTCATGTTAGATAAGCTATCTCATCTAACATGAGGGGGTCTGTTCCCTTGTGGGTGGTGATTTGGATAGTCGCTGGATGACTCCCTGTTGTATGGTAGGTCGGGTGGGACAGTTGGAGTGGTCTGCTGGGGAGGGGCCGCAGCAATTGGTGCAGCATGGGACTGCTGCTTCCTCATCATTGGAGGAGTGCATCTCTTCAGTGTGGTCTCTCTTGCTGCAAATGCGGCATCTGGGGGTGCAAGTGCAGGTCCAAGGATTATGATAGTCCCAGCATTGTGTCCATTGTTCTATACAGGCTCGGGAGGGCTTCCGCTTAATCTGTACATTTTTGCCATAGAAGTGAACCCATTTGGGGACTATCAGGGCCTGGTTCTCTGGGACAGCCATGATGAGGGTGCCTGAAAGCGGGTTCTTGCTTGATCGGTAGGACTTCAGAGGGGAGAGGCCTGTCTGGAGCTTGAACTCTTCCAGGCCATGGGTTCAGTTATGGGCATTTGGGTCCCATTGTAGCCAGTATACTCTTGAGGCGCGTTTGGAAGGGCAAAAATGGTCCAATTCTGTTCTACTTCTGCTTTGGCTCCCTGGATGGAACTCTCTAGAGTTTCCTTGCATTCCATGAGCAGGTGAAGGCCCAGGCCGTCCCTAGGCCAGATTGCTAGGCCAGAAGGTACCTGTTGGATCTCTTTCACTGCCTTAGAGCAGGGTTTGTCCAAGTGTTTCCTCAAGATGTCCATGGTGGCGTGTGGGCTAGCTCAGCGGGCTGGGTGACTCTCAGGGAGGCATAGGAAGATGTGGGGGGGCTTCTCCTGTTGCGGTGCTTTGTAGGGAGTCTTAGGTATTTTGGGGTGTGCCTTGGGGGCATTGGGTGTTTCCTTAGCGGCTTCGGCATAGTTGTTGTTTTTGGAGGGGGGGGGGGGTTGGTGATTCTCCTCTGCTTCAACAAGGTGTCCAGTCACCAGGTTCTTGCTGAAGTTGAGGACCAGGGTTCTGATGTCAGGGAGGCAGCTCCTTGGAGGCTTTTCTCTTCCCAGTTGGCGATTTTTTGGTTGACTGTAGAGACAAGTTCCATGACTTCATCTCCTGTGGACT